GCCGGGGCTGCCGCAGCGCCTATGGCTGGGGCTGCAGCTGGGGCCCGCGGCTCCCGCCCCGACGCTCATTGGCCCGGGCCGGGGGCGGGCGCGCGGCGCCGCGGGGCTGCGCGCTCATTGGCCCGCCGGGGGGAGGCGCGCGGGGCGCGGCCCTTCACGGAGTAAGATGGCGGCGGCCGCCCTGCGCAGCGGCTGCCGGAGCGCGGGGCGCCTGGTAAGGGCGGGCAGGGGGGTGCCCGGTTTCCCGTCGGGCGGCGGCGGCCTCTCCGCCCGCGGCGCTCCGTGACTCCCCCCAGGCCTCCCGCGCGCGGCGGCGCCTGCCGGGGGCACGCGCCGCTCCCGGCCCGCCGGGGCGTTTGCCCCCGTCAGCGGGTTTGCTGTGAGGGAAAAGGGGCCGCCGGCGCCGCCGCGGCCTCCTGAGCCTCGGCGGTACCGGGGCGGGGCCGGCGCCGTGATTTAGCCGTTGCATAGTGAGCACGGGCTGCAGGTGCCTTTTAAATGTCACGAGAAGCGGCTTCTTCCTCTGATCCTCGTGGAGAAGTGGGGTCGAGAGGCAAGAAGTAAAATTGCGGTTGTCACTCTGAAGTGCCACATTTTAACACTTGGGCTTGCGCTTGGTGCTCCTGCAAGCCTGGACTGGCCAAGGGCAGGTAGGATGTGGCTACAGGCTGTGAAGAGCAGAAGAGCAGCCTGAGGTCCCCGCGTGAGGTACCGAGGAAACGGGAGTCGAGTGCGGATGAGGTCCTGGCACCGGTTCTAAGGCTGGCTGGRATGCGCTAGCGAGGATGTTGGTTTTGCTGGTAAAACTAAATCTAGTATACTAAAACTGGCATAGAGCAGTGTGTGGAGATACGAAGTAGGTAACATATGTRCATTAAAATGACCCAATGGGAGAGCAGGTGAAATGAGTCTCGTTGAGGCGTATCCTTTAATGTGAATCCAGTACCTTTGAACACAATTTATACCACGTGACTTTGAAGTTGAGTGATATTTTGCCACATAGTCATTTGCCTGCAAACTCAATGACATTTTGTTCAGGGGACAGCAGGAGATTTCCAGGATCCATAGAGATTTATAAAAACACAAGGAGCTGCTTCTTAAGGAAGTGACCCAAATTGAACCAGTCAGGATCAAGGTAATTCTTCCCCCAAATAGCGTATGCTCCATGGCTGTCTTCATTCAAACTTTAAGCCTTGAGAAATTTAGTTCATTGTCAGTGGTTGATGCATCCTTGGTATCAGTGAGGGGCTGGACCAGACATAAGACCCTGTCCCCTTGCGTAGGAACCTTATGCAGCACCTTATAGCAATAGAGAGGTGCCATAGCCCTCGCCTTTACTGCCTTCTGCTGTTTTGCAGTCACACAGATATCTACCACTTATTTGTACAAATATATTAGTTAYATATAATGATGGTGTGTATTTGTATATTGAGTTTAGAATTTCCTATTAAATGCTCTTGTTTTCTTACCTCGCTTTACAAGTATTGTGATGATTAAATGCTGAAATGAATAAACAAATCATCTCTGGTTTTATGGGTTTCATTTTTTCAGCTTTTAGAAAGGAACACATTTACATGGAGAGACTGGGCTCTGCATCACTGGTTTAGCATATTAACACACCAACTCTCTGGTTAACCTCAACTACAGACCAGAAAGACAGATACAGTTTTACAAAAGGCAATAGTTTTGAATTATTCCTGCAAATATAAAAGTTTAAGAACTCTTCTGTAACAAAATCAGTTTGCCAGTTATGTTACTTATTCAGATTTTTAGGCAGTTCAGAGGTTTGATATGCTGCTTGCAATCATATTCAGTAAGATAACAGGTAAATATTGAATCATTTTTGTGCAGGGCCATATAAAGACAAAAGAGTTCTATTTTAAATTTGGAACAAAAAGATCTTGCAGAACAAAAGAATGTAACTGTGGAGTAAAATAGAAATACAAAATTAAAATAGAAGAAAGCATGAGTTTTGTGCTACTTTTACATTTAACTTTTTCTTTTACAKTTAACTTTTTAATATATTTTAATATGTATTTAATTAAAACTTTAATGCATCTGTTAAATAAGRTTTATGATAGCTCACAATTGTCATGGTAAAATGTCATTTTACCATTTTTGACTAAGGGAAAGGTATTGCTGTCTTCTCATTATAGAAATGAGAAAAATACTTATTCTAGATCAACAAATACAATCTTAGTATGAAGTAGTTGAAAAGYAGCTCAGTGTGACTTTGCAGTRCCCTTTCAGGTAGACTGTATTGTTTAATTATTTGTTCCCAAAAGAAAGCTAATGTAAGAATGTAATTTGCATGTTAAATAACGTAAGAAGTACATRTGTTTTCAGTTCAGTATAGTATAGTCTTCTGGGTAATCCGCACTCTAAATGTGCAATATAAACGTGCAAAATTTTCCATAGTTTTGGGGGGAGGATAGAATAATTAATGAAGATTCATATGTTTTGCGATTATTTGAAAGGATTATTTCAAAAAAAAAGTGTTAAAATGAACTTTCCCACACAGGTGTCCTGTTTTCTGGCTCTTCTAAGAAGATAATTTGTAAATTTTACAGTTTTGAGCTGCTTGAGGTACATTGTAGCACCTGATTTTTTTCATATCTCTAAATTAATTAGAGATTGTACCTGCAGATTTTTTTGTATTAATTTTATGTCACATTAGGATAATATAACACCAGAATTTAAAGGAATCATACTAAATAAGAAAGGGTCTGAAYTAAATTCTAATGTATTTAATGATAAAATTTTTGTTTATGTCAATGCAAGTGCCACTGGCTTTGCTCTTGACCAAAATCATGACTGCTGTGATCACACAATGTGTTAAAGCAAATAGCTTTATAYAGAGAGCCTTTCAGAACCTTCTTTTGACCCTTGAAGATGGTTTCTGGATAAATGTAACCATGAAAGAAAAGCACATTGCACCCAACCAATCCTTAGGAAAGTCAATAAAGTTGCTGTAAAATGGTACATGCTTCAAGATGTTTGTCTGCTAGATTTTGAAAGAAATGAAATGGCAACTGTGTCCTCCAGCGGAAAGTTCCTTTCTAATGAGTATTTATGATCAACCTTTGATTCTAGTCAGAACCAACAGAGAAAAATACACTGATTTTTTTTCCCCCATGCTTAAGAGACCTTTTCTGCTTTCATTCTGCATGAGAGCATTTCACATGGATGATGTAGTTGATGGGGTATACGCTTTTGTGTGTGTGTCCTGATTAAACTGATTGCTTAAAGAAACTAGAACCTATGAATCTGTTGCCAGATCTTGTCATGATTTTTGTTAATTTATTATGTTCTTGTGCCTTTGATCTGCCCTGCAATGTATTATTAAAATTGTTTAAGAACYTGGCAAAGCTTATGCAAGTTTAATAATCATTACCCTTCTATACCCTATAAGAACTTAAACAAGTTCTTTAGTATATTCAGATACTAAATATGTATGATTGTGTTTTCATAAGAACTTCTCTAAATAAGAATCGAGTGATTGGAGTTTAGTTACTGTTGTGTCAAGAATATTAATTGAGTTATGCTTTCCTCAATCCAAACTTWAACACTTGAGACTTTTCTCCTCCAGGTTTGTGTTCACCATGTTAGATCGTGCAGCAGCATTCRGTTTATAAAATCAAAATATGTGTGCCTGTTTGACAAATCCGCTCTGAAGTTTAGTCATCATCAGCGATTATTCAGAACATCTCCTGGTAATCATTTTCATACTAAAATAATTTACCTTATATTGCTTTTTCATGAGTGTTAAGTTAGCAGTCTGTCTGTAACTGGTATATAGTGTATTTTTGATGCAATCAAACTTTTCTCTGTGATGTGATATATTTAGTATTAAACTTTTTCCTTCCTCATTTTCTGTTTTAAGTTTCATGCGGCCAAATTGTTCAGTTTAAGCTTTCCGACATTGGAGAAGGGATTACAGAGGTGACTGTGAAAGAATGGTAAGTACCACTTCCTTGGAAATCAGCAAGTAGTGCTAACAGCTGTGTTACTCATTACCTGAGAAACATTTTTTRGGTTACTAGTGAAGTTTTTACAKTTTTTTTCCACATTTTGAAGCCTTSTTTAGTCAATACTTTACACTGTGTTTATTTATGTTCTGGTTTATTTGGAAGTGGAAAAGATGGAGAGAATAGGACCTCCAGCTGCACCTTTAGGTAGACTTTCTTTACGTCATTAAATTTTGGGAGGGTAGCAAGGCTAACTTTTAATTATGTTTGTGGAGCTAAACTTAAGGAAAAAATGTACTTCTCAGAGAAACCACAAAATTTTATCCTGCAGTATTTTTCCATTTAGGCCATTAATTAAACAAAACTTAAACAAAATCAAAATGTCTGGTGGGGGAGGGCAATTTGGTAATGCTCTGTTTTTTGTATGAATGGTAGAAAATACCTTTTTTGTGCTGGAGATGGTGTTTCCTACATCTAGACTCTGGATATCTAAAACTGATCAKACACTGGTCCTGGCAATTTCAAACTGAGACTTTCCTTAACTTGAAACTAAGCAAAGCTCATTCTTATTTTTTGGCCATTTATAATCTGTGGAGAAAAATGCTATTTTYTAACTAAAGTAACAACGAAAATATAAATGTGATGATAATCTTTGCTACTTTTTACACAACAAAGTGTTCTGGAGTAGTGTGGCAGCATGTACAGCAAATGGATCCAACATGTTCAATTTAACTTCTTCTCTAGATTACTACATTTTCATGTAATGTGGATGTAGGTAATGGAACTTATCAGAATACTGCACAGCATAGATTTTTACACTYAAATATATTTATACCAGCCTGTGACTTTTTTTTTCTTCCTTAGGTATATAAAAGAAGGTGATAGTGTGTCTCAATTTGATAGCATCTGTGAAGTACAAAGTGATAAAGCTTCAGTAACTATTACTAGTCGTTACGATGGCATCATTAGAAAACTCCATTACAATTTAGATGAAATTGCTTATGTTGGAAAACCATTAGTGGACATTGAAATTGATGCTTCAAAAGGTATCAGAAAGATTTTTTTTCCTCTTGCATGTTTTGTATTTGTCGTTGTAAAATCATCAGATAGTCAGTAGAGGTTTTTCCTTTGAAWTTTTTTTTTAATAGATTAAAGAATAAAACATGGTAGAAAAAAAGACTTCTATTAATTCTTCTGTTTTTTTTTTTTAAGGTTTTAAAATTTCAAAAACTGGACACGTCTACCTGTTGAAAATTTAGAGCAATCAGCTTTTAGCACTGCTATATTCCTGTCCATAGTAGCTCAAAACAAATATTAAAAGCTTTTGGTCTCACAGGATCTAATTTTTAGGGAGGAATTAAAATACAGTAAAAGAGAATGGTGGAATTATTCACCTACSAAAGTCTTGGAGGAACACAGTAATTTTTACTGTGAATCATTAAATTTGTGAAGCCTAAGATTAAGGGTTAGATTTCAYTGCAGGACAAGAGAGTTCAATTCACTGCTGGAACCTGTGAGGTCTGTAAGGCTGGAACGACCTTCTGGTCAAGTAATGGTTCATATGCAGTTTGGATATTTCAGAAYAATAGAAATAAGACTCGTATTACAATTTGACAAACAGTTCAGTGGACTCTCAGGATGTGTTTGAAGACTATTCTCACTTCGCTCAAAGCCCTGTTCCATTTCATCTCATCAAGGAGCCCAAATAGTTCAAATCTATGCCTTGTATCATGGTGAACATAGCAGTGTGATATGGTTGTAGGATGACTGAATCTCTTCCAGTCCCTGCCCAYATAGGGTGGAGGAACCCCTGCTTTGGTTAAATACCTTCTGTCACTTGCTGCGCTTCTGGGATCATTTAAGCCCTAAAGATCCTAAGTTTCTGCAGCAATTGTGTTCTACTCTGCTGTTTGGTGGGCAGAGGAGGAACAGTATTACCTGGGCAGATAACCTGTCACTCGTCAGAAGGTTAAGGGAGGAAAAGCAACACCTGTGGGCCAGGGTAGAGCCTGACCATTTCCTAGCGTCRTGCACTTCAAGGGAAGGCTAGTGCTGCCATTACTGCAACATTTGTGCAATTACTTTAGCATTRTGTATATTTAGAGTGATATATTATCCTACGCTGTGGTATGAACCAGTAGCTTCTGAAGAATGTCTTACTGTTTAACAGGTTAACCTTCACTATTTCAWAATTTACTACTTAGAGAGTTTTGCTTTTTTCCTTAAAGATATTTGAGAATTGGTTCAGCTTTATTTTTTACTGTTCATTTAACTTTTGCATAAAGTAGGAGATATAAAACAAGTTTCTACACTTTACTCTCTATTTAGCCACTACAAAGCTTGCTTATGGAGAACTGTAATAAAGTTATTATTTTTCTTCCTGTTTGCAGATGTTGCTCCAGAAGAAGATGTTGTTGAAACACCTGCTATGTCTCATGAAGAACATACACACCAAGAGATAAAAGGTCACAAAACATTGGCAACTCCTGCTGTTCGTCGTCTTGCAATGGAAAATAATGTGAGTTTGTTGAGTCAGGTCCTGCTGAATTTTTTTCTTCTTTTACATACCAGTCTGACTAACCAGGAGAACATTGTTCAAAGGAAAGTGCAGTGAGGAATTCACAGAGGAATGAATACCYCTTTTCAAATATATTAAAACTGTTATAAAGATGAACAGAATGATGTTTTCACAATGATTATAGTGGATATAAAAAGAGTAACTGGACTGAAAACGCAACTAGGACCCTTGAATTTGGAGGTAAAGAGAACCTTTTCAGAGGTAAAAATAAGTAAGCACCAGGATATACTTTTGGAATAGAGGAGGGGGAGGCAAAAATGGAATCTCAGCTTTAATTATCTAGTTCCTGAAGTCTTTACATTTGGATCAGAAGTGACTTAGGTTATACTAATCTTGCCTGCAAAAGAAGATAGATTTGGTGACCTTTTAAAGGCTTTTATATTTCTGATCTTTTGTGAATCTGTAAATACTCTATTATTTTGGAAAGCTTGTGATGCATTTTAAGAAGAAAAGTAAGATAGTAAGTAGAAAAATGACTTTCCTCAGATAAATTTTTCACTATTGAGACAGTGAAAAGTAATTAAGCCGTAAGCAATTCAATTGTTCCTTCTTAAGTATGCAATTAGGTATCTACAGGGACTTTTAGATGATTTGAATGGTGTCCACAGGAAGGGAATAAGTCATAGGAAAAGAGAGTTGTAAGCATGTTAGATCAGTACCTGCAATATTTTTTAATTGTAATTTACTTACAATATAGGATTCTTTATATTGCTGTATTATTCTTTACATTGTAATATTGCTTTATATTGCCGTAAAGCGAAAGTATTAAAACTTACTATATATCTTTCAGATTAAATTGAGTGAAGTTGTTGGGACAGGCAAAGATAATAGAATCCTTAAGGAAGACATACTCAATTATTTGGCCAAACAGACAGGAGCTATTTTACCTCCATCACCAAAAGCTGAAATTATCCCTCCTTTGCCAAAATCTGAGGGAGGTCCTGCTGCTCTAAAGGAGCGTAAAATTCCTCTACCTATTTCCCGACCCATTGCCTTTTCAGGAAAAGATAAAACAGAAGCTGTAACAGGTAAGCCATGGTGTATAAAATCTTGAAATAACCCATGTTCACAGTTATTAGCAACAGATGTTACTCATCTGTTTATTTTCTGAAAGAAAGTACAGATGAAGAAACTGAAACATTCAGTTTCTTTTTGTAGAAGATGTGTTTTATTTTGTTTATCCTGTAAGTCTGCTGAGACTATGAGAATTAGGAAAAACATGCCTTGCAGGGAGGTGATGTTTGAAATGATTATTTTATGAAATGATTGTTCATGTTTTGGCTGGAGGGTGTTGGGCTGTGAAACAGGTGTATGGTGAAACAGGTAAGAATTCTAAAACTCATATTGCAGTATGAGTCATAATGTAATTAGTGTCAAGGTACAGTAGTATAGGTGTTTATCAGAGATTAAGAGTAGCGGACTTCAGCATTCAGACTTGTTCTGRACAACAGTGCACAACAAAAGGTGCTGACATAAGAAAAGACATATTAAAAGATGAAGAAATGGGGCTTTGGGCCTTCAGACAGTGCTGTCATGTAGAGGGGAGAAAAAGCAGTGTAGGCTATAGGCTATCCTGTAATTTAAAGTACATACATATGTAAAATAAGTATGGAATAATATAATCAGAGATATTACAATTATAAAAATTGAGTTTGCAAATGGTGAGTAACGGTTGATCTGAAAGTGAGCTTTGGGATCTTTTAGGTCTTTTTTCTTTCTTTTTCTAAGCTTTGTAATTATTTAAAAAGTGAAATTCAATAATTGAAACTTCAGCATAGCTTCCCAGATGCTTGTTTTGATGGTATAAGAACTAGTGAATGTTTTTCAGGTTTTCAGAAGGCAATGGTAAAGACTATGAGTGCAGCCTTAAAGATTCCTCACTTTGGTTATTGTGATGAGATTGATTTGACTCAGCTTGTTCAGTTGCGAGAAGAGCTGAAACCTCTAGCACAAACTCGTGGAGTTAAGCTTTCCTTCATGCCCTTCTTCATCAAGGTGAGACATGCAGTAGAGCACTAGAATACTAGTGCAGATTTTGCCAGCATTTTCTGATTGATTGACTGCTGTTGTAACTTTGAGTACATTTCTATCATGCGAGTAGTCACAAGTCTCAAGAAAGTCACAGCCTGTTTATTGATCTACTTATCAATTCACTGTGGGGATTATAGCAGGATTATCTAATATCTAGGAACGTTTTTGAAATATTAATGATAAAGGATAAAACAGTTAAATCATCACTTGGCAAGCCTCTAAGGATCTCTGAACATTTCAGTTTGAAATAGCAGAAACAAATTTTGTGCAAGCTTCATTATCACATTTGAAATGTAATTTTTTTTTTAATCTTATTTTGTTGGTAGTAAATCCCTCAGGTGAATGAGTGCATTTGCTTTGTTATTTGGAAGACTGGGCACTTGAATTTATTTGCCACAGTTCTGTTTTCACCCATTTCCAGTTTTTGACATGACTGAAGGCTGAACACAAAGCTTAGTGCGAAGCTTCTGATAATGCTCAGTTAGAGAGCTAATTAAGGATTAATTCTGTTACTCCCTTTTCCCAGGGAATTAATATGATTTCCTGAAATGATAATTATTTTTTGGAGAGCTAAGTGGAGAGTTTAGACCAAATTTGATTCATTGGAAAAAATCCAAATTATTACTAATTGGAATTGTCTTCCACTGTTTCTTCTCTTTCATCCTGGAGTAATAATATTAATGTAGCTGTTTTAGTTACGAAGTATAAAAATTGATCTTTCTTTTATATTTAACAGGCAGCTTCTCTGGGATTATTGCAGTATCCTATTCTTAATGCTTCTCTGGACGAAAGCTGTCAAAATATTACATACAAGGTTTGTAAAATCCTGAGGAAAGTTCTGAGCAAAATCCCAAACTAACRGCTAACAAGGATACCTTTTCACCATGTTTGAACTAATTCTAGGATCCTATAACTTATAACGTACTGGAAAATAACTTGAATATCCAGGTTCTGTCTAAAATTGAGTTAGATTTAATAGAGACCTGATTTTAGCAATGTTTTTTTAGTGATGACAAAGTGGTTCCACTATTCCAACTCCTAACCCTTATGTATCAAAGTTATCTTTTAAACTGAGTTTGCTAAAATTTATTTAATTTCATAAAATGTGCTGGTTTAATAGTCTGGACAATGAATGTCTGTTGTCTTCAGGAATGGATGCTCTATATATTAGGGCAGTGCAATTCCTTTTATGCTGTTTTATCAATGTCTCAGACATACCTTTATATATTCCTTCTAGAAAAGGCAAAGGTATAGGAGAGTTCCCTCAAAGAGGTATAGGAGAGTTGCTTAGTGCAGACAGTGCTTCCTTGGTTAGGAGGGGGGGAAAAAAAAAAGTCAAAAGCTTTCAAGTGCTTTCTTGTGTAAAATAAATGTTATATTGATTGTTTGTGCTAATGTCTGGTTAATGAAACTTATTGTAGGCTTCGCACAACATTGGAGTTGCTATGGACACGGAGCAAGGTTTAATTGTCCCAAATGTGAAAAATGTCCAAGTCTGTAGTGTATTTGAGATTGCAACTGAATTAAATCGCCTACAGTCCCTGGGCTCTGCAGGCCAACTGGGAACAAATGACCTTACTGGGGGAACATTCACCCTGTCAAATATTGGCACAGTAAGTACATGAAAAAATGAGAAGTTATATCTAAAAACTGCTTCTGAAATGAATATCCTAATGCAAGTTTATATGCAATATTCAAAACACAATATATGCAAAATATGCAAAAACCAAAACCTCTAACAATTCATGCAAGAAGCAATCTTTTTTTTCAGAGAATTATATAATTAATCCCTAACTAATATTCCTAACTAATTTTTTTTTTTTTTTTTTTTTGGTAGATTGGTGGCACTTACACTAAACCAGTGATACTACCTCCTGAAGTAGCTATTGGAGCACTTGGAAAGATACAGGTATATTCATTTTATCTCAGTGATGTAGGTGATTAACTGTAGCATGCTAAGGTCATCTTTAATGTATATATAACACTCAGTCTCCCTTTGGATACTGTTCTTGTTTCTCTGTATGAAAGAGAGACTTCCGAGCTTGTGAATGAAAAATTTTGTAGTGTTTTAGATAGTCATGGAGACACGATATATATAAATAGAAATCTTTTACCCTAATGATGCATTTTTTTTTTTAGAATGCTGTAATATTTCACTCAGATCTTTATTTAGCTTCCAAGTTATGAAGAAACAATGTAAATATAATTTTACAAGTCTTGCAACATGGTTATAGCATTTTTGTTGTCAAGGAGGAAACTTGAGAGTAGAAAAGTATTCTGATGATCAGGCAGATAGTTGCATGAACCGGGGAGCTGAACTTGTTGCAGAGCTCAAAATGGCAAAAGCAGCTCTTATTTTTTTGAATTTCAGACCTAATTTCTTTAATACAGACACTGGAAATAAAGTTAGTATTATTTTAAAATACCTTTCCTATTTTCTTCACATAAGCCTTTTCTTTAGAGGAATGCTCTTGAGAAATTGTTACTTTGAACACTAATTAATTATAAGCAATRACTTGCTAATAAAGAAACCATAATCAATAAAGAAACCATATAAACTATGTGAACTATATAAGCTAATAAACTATAAACAATAAAGTATTCAGGAAGAAACTTGAGTCAAGAAAGGTTTTACTGCTTCATTATATCCAAGGTGGAGGAAATAGAGGTGTGACTGTTTATAATGTAGTTTTGAAGTAAGTTCTATTCTGCAATATGACCATCATGGGAAAATCTATTTCTTGAGTGGCACTACTGCTGTCTATTTAATTTAACAAACATTAATGCATATTTGTTAATGAAAGGTTTTTTTTTTTCCATTTTATTCTATTCTCTGACTTTTAGGTTCTTCCTAGGTTTAATGGAAAAGGTGAAATATATAAAGCACAGATAATGAATGTGAGTTGGTCAGCTGATCATCGCATTATTGATGGAGCTACAATGGCCCGGTTTTCTAACTTGTGGAAATCTTATTTGGAGAACCCTGCTTCAATGCTGCTAGACCTTAAATAAAGGAAATTATGGCTAGAATATGACTTAAAAACTTTGTGAATTAGACTGAATAAAAGCAGGCTTTGCTAGCCTGTTGCTACTCACATTATATAATTACTTTATGCGGTTTTAAAAAGTTCTCAGCAACTGATACCAGTCTATCAATTAACTGTTACATTTTTTTAAATTAAATTACTAATGCTGTAATTTCTTCTACAGCAACCTGTCAAGCTTGTTAGGTTATGGTGTGATTCCTAAATATGGTGAAGGAAAGACTTTATTTTGATTTTTATAATATATACAGATGTTAGGCTGATGTAATTGAATGACAGTCATCTACATGTCTGTAGTATTTTAAGTTGATTAACCTGTTTCAAAGGGAAATACTCAGAGTTTTTCCTCATTGGACGCACACATTTATTTGAACAAAGAGTGAAAGAAAGTTATATCTAAGTTCCTGAAGAAGTGATGCAAAAATCATGTACAAATAAAATGCCTTGTATTCATATGTTTTAAGACGTCCAGAGAACTTTTTGTTGTTTAACCAAATTAATCTCTCTTTTCATGTCTKTCTTTAGTTCACTTTTTCCTGGAGATGGCTTGCACAGGTACTCTTTATCAGGTGATAAAGGGAAATAGCATATTTACTCAGATGTTACTCAGAACATTTACTGACAACCATCAGGGCCTTATAAATACTCTAGAATATTCTGTATTTTTAGAAGCTGAAAGTAGCTGAGGTCTTTAAATACTTTCCAGTTATTTTTGTTTCTTATAGAAAGCAGCTGTCTGTATAAAACAAGAACAAAAAAGGGATGAGTCCATTTCTTATTCCATCATTAGGTAAGCATGACAGTAAATGGAATGTGTTCTGAAAGCCTGCGTCACCTCGTATTATTGATGTTTGGATGTTAGGGTTTGAGAGATTAATACAACGAAGAATTAATATCAGCAAAAAATCTGATATAAGGATTTTTAAAACTGAGATACAAAGCAGATAATGAACAGGTTTCAGGCCTTCAGAACAGGTAACAGTTATGGTGCTTTAAGTTAAACAGATGATGAGGACTGCAGTGGTTATTTAAAAGGAGATACAAAGAAAACTGTTGGTTCTAAATACTTCCTAGAAATAGAACTTGCAAACAGACATAGAAGGTTGTGTGGCCTAAATAATTCCTTTGGAGGCCTTTTTACCTTTTGTTAAATAAATTTATCAAGATCTGTATTTACAGTAGCATACTCCAAAGTTGTAGTCCAAAGTAGTCTACAGTGGTCTATTGCTGTGAAGATGCAAGACATGAGCAGCTAGAGATAGAACCTCTTCTCTCTTCATGCTGAGACTGGGCAGGAGGAAGCTGATAGTGTAAGGGGAGAGCATCCATGTAAGTTGCTATTTATATATCTATTGTGATATAAGAAGCTTTTATTTAAATCATTTCTTGTGAAGTTTGATGAATATGTTGTGCTTATCACCTATTTAATTTTTATCAGAATTTTTATTACTAATAAAAGATTTCTAGATTCTTAAAYAGTTGTAGTAATAGTCTTTCTATTTGAATTTCATGCAGGTAATTCTGTACAGGTGACTCAGTCTTTCATTTCTTCTTATCTTAAAGAGCCTACTGCACTTGAGACTGCCAAAAGGACAAAGCCAAAAGGCTACTCTCCAATTATATTGTTGTGGTAAGGGCTTAGTATATTTTTTAACCTTGCAACCACGGAGAAAACAAAACAAAACAAAAAAAAAAAAAAGGAAGCATAAATATATGATAGAAAACAGAAAAAAAAAAGTCTTCTGTCAATAATAGTAATATTTTAAAATCACTTTATTATCAGAAACAGCTTGAAATTTGCATTGTATCTCAAAACTCTGCTCCCCCCACAAAAAAAAAGTCTCATAAGGTATTAGTCTAAATGGTCTGTCAAGTCACTTCAAATGTTTAATGGTGGTTTATTCTAACAGAGCTTTTTTTTCTATTTTATCTTCTTCAATGGCTCTGAAAGAAAACTAATGTACGTTTTAACATTTAATAATTGGGAGCATGAAAAGCCTCTCTGAACATTTGATGAAGTTCAGTTTTCAATATGGAATTTGATAATGTGCACTAAATTTCTTCATGATTCCAAAGGCAAAAGAATTGAGTAAAACGCTAACAATATTTTTTCAAGCTTAGTGTAATTACACTATGTTGTTGCTTAATAGAACTTTTATAATACTAACTAAATATTTTTGTGAAGCTTAGTTATCTTGCAGAGGAATGCTAGAAGAGTAAAACAAGTAATTATCATTTTGGGTTCAAAAGTAGCTTGTTTAATTTTCATTATTCAGCATATTCCATTTTATTCCAAGTATTCCATTGATCCTTTTGTATACAATTAGTAACTTTTGTAAGTCCCACAAACAATTTATGGAGCTTCAGTCATGTTCAGCAAACTGGGAAGATGGTAAAAGTTCAGGGGGCTTTGCCCAAGTGCCTCATGTGATACCTTCTATTCTCAGCATGGTTAAAATTAGAACTAGGCTGATRTTACATTGGCGTCTGAGTGCGAGTTCAAAATGGTTTTAGTAGTACAGACAAGATTCATAAATTACCTCTGCTCATGCCCAGAAAGCATTGAACTATGGAAAATGCTTGAAAAACCCACCAAATTTAGGTAAGTTGTTCTTAAACACTTCTGGATGATTGGTGGGGACGTTTTAGAGAGATCTAGTTACGCAGGAATAAGTTTGTAGTTGTTCGCCAGTCATGCTTAGAAAGTTGCTTTGAACCGCTTGCACAGTTATTATGGTTTATTTTGTTGTTTTCATGACAAATCATATGATATAAGAACAAGAAGCTTTTGATGATAGTCCTGTTACTATATTATTAAATCTCCTTGGAAACAGGAGCCTATGTACAGGGCCTCTTATATTTAAGCAGTGTTTATTGAATAAGCAGCTTTTCATTGCAAGAGAGAGCTGCCAAGTGCAAGCTAAATTAAAAAGAAAAGATGGCTGTTTTAACTGTATAGTCCCATATTGTTTTTTGTGATACAGTTATCAAAAATAACTTTTTAGAGATTGGCATGTCATCGTCTCTCTTCTATAAAATGTGCATATATATATATATATGTATATATTTCCTACCTTAAAAGGCTTGTCTGTAAACAATAAGAAGTGATAGTTCAGGTAGATCAGTTAACATTCTGTAGAAGTTAACCTTCTGTAGAAGGTTATTCTGGAATAATAAGCAAATCGAAATTGCAGCCCCTAATCAGAGCAGAAAGCTTCACACAGTGCTTCAGACATTACTGCTGCGTATAGGAATGAGGAATGGGAAAGGAGGACTGCAGAAGGAGAAATTAATCCCTCAAATAACAGCATGTAAATGTGATTGTGTTTATGTAGAGGAAGGAAAGAGGATTTAATCATTCCTTACAGGAGAAAAATGAGCCCTTTTTAGGAATGCAAATGCCATAGTGCATTGTGCCATGCTGTGGATGCCATTTCTGTCACCTGCCAAATCCTGCCACATTCCCCTAACAAACAGAACAGTTAAGAACCAGTGATATCAAAGTACTGGACTACATATTTCTCTATACAAGCACTATAATTGATTTTATGCTGTCTTTATAACAGTAGGCAATCCTTACAATTTAGATTTCCTATTATTTGCTTGTCTGTATTTTTTTTTAAATTAAGTGATTTAATATATTCAGATTTTGCAAATAACCACCTTAGCAGGAGAAGTGATAAACATAAAATAGAGTGCTTACCAGTTTGAACAGAATTGTTCATCGAGCTACTTGAATGCCTTGTTTGCTTATCCATGGCCCTTGGAAGTTTAATAGCATATATATGGTGGAAAAAAATGCCCTAAAAGACAGACTTCTGTGAAGAAAATTAATACAACTAAAATATGCTAACTTATTTTCAGTGTAAAATGAAGGTTTTATTTCCTTATGTTTTCTAATTTATTTTATGCCATTGTTTATATTATTACCTAAACATCTTTGGATGATGCTAATATGTTGGCTTAGTGACCTCCCAGGATGATAAATTCTTTAATTGTTTAATAATTTTGTGGAAAATTGACTTTTAAAACTAATTAAACACCGTTATTTTATTACGAGAAAATTTAATTAGATGCAGTTATCTATTCTGTAAAGAGCAAGTGATTGGTGAAGTTCTGTTAGCTCTTTACATTAGCTGCATTTAATAATATAACCAAGTAGGTATGTAATTAAGAAGGAATGGCAACTATTTCATTCTCATATCATTGTTGCCATCTGGTAGCTGATACATGCACCTCYACCTTGGTCCTGAAGCTCACAATCAGACCCTGTGACTGAATCAGAACATGTAAGAATCATGACTGAAACTGCTGTTTGTGTTGGATCATTCTCCGCTGTGAAGACACTTTGGGAAGTAAGAATACAGAAAATAAATGATGAATTACGTAAAGAAAAGGAATTCAGAGAGAGGTCTGCAGGAAGGTAGGTAAATTGGAAATGCTTAGTATGTGAAAAGCTCCGTTACATTGCAGAACACATAACTGACRTTTCAGACTACTGGAGAATCTAATTTTGTAATCCTTATGGCAGCGGAATTCCTACCAATGAAAAGCTATGTTTAGATCAAACAAAGAATTGTGTTCCATTATAAAAGAAAGAAAGAAAACATATATTCTAAATCGACTAGGGTACATGCTAAGGAACAGTAGCTTATCTTAATGCAGCTACCATAACTTTAATAAAAACTCGTTAGTTAGTTTTTATAGTCTGTGAATTGCAAGTGATTACTTGAAATGCTCTCCACTGAGCACTGAAGAGAACCAGTGGAAACCAGTGGAGAATTCAGAACCTTTAAGCAAGGTTCAGTGTATTCACTGATGAACCTTGCTTAAAAAAAAAAAGTTAAAATTTCTCTGTAGTGTGAGGACTCTAACTTCTGAATATTGTTTTTTCTTGCTGTTATTTGTTTTTCTCTCAGTGGAGACCTTAGTGAGTCTTCTTTTTAGTCAAGTATTTTGTGAAATGTGAAGAACAGTTATTCTGAGCTGAAAAAATAATTAAAATTCACTTGAATTACTTCAGCCAAATGCTATTTTATATCCTGGCCTTCCTTCAGTTAGTAGTATATCTAGCACACAGGTAAGTAAGTGCTTGTTTGACATCTGTAAAGGCTGTTGTTTCTTTGTTTTTCCAGAAAGTAATGGGTGGTAGTTATCGATGGTATTCCTAGCTGGTCCACTGACAAATCTTCTTTCCTTTGCAGACTAATGCTTGTCTGGGAAGAGAGAGCCACTTTCGAAAAGCTTAAAGAAAAAGTTATTAATGAAGATGGGAGAGCAATTTTAAGGATAGAGGAAGAAGAATGGAAGGTAATGATAATGGGAAGGAATATTGCTTGGGTTGAAAAATTCATGCATTAAAAAATATACTGTTTATATTTTTATACTTAGTTACACTTTTTTTAATCTGTGCCTTGCTCACASCTGAGAGATGCACTGTTGCTGTATTGTGGCTGTGACAGTGCAAAAGCAAGCTGATCTTTATTCTYAAATATTAAGTATTGCTCTACAAATATATTGCCCAAAAGGCTTTTCTTTGTTAGAACTTAATTACATTTTAAAGTATGAGTTTAATTAAGTAAATATTAATTTAATTAACACAACAGAACTCCTGGAGTATTTCAGTGTGAAAAATCTCAGTGGAAAGATGCATGAAATCTCAGTGGAAAGATGCATTAGTGTTATTTTCTCGTTCTAAAAATGAAAATTAAGCAGTAGGTTCCGAGAATACTATTATTGTTTCTGATGCATAGGGAAAATGGATGACTGTAGATTCAGCAACAGAGAGGAATCTAAAATTTCTTCTAAGCTACAGACTTGGTAGCTTCACCAACACAGAAATGCAGAAGCCGGGACCTATGCAGTGAAGACAATAAGGTCACATTGAAGCMAGTGAAAGACTGACAGCCTCATGCTGCAGTACTCTGGTGATGCCTAGGCCKGTGTAGGGAAGCTGTTAAAAACTTACTTCATACAAACACCCTAGTTTTTGCATCCTCTGCTCTCAAATGTGCATTGTTTTCTTTTACAGAATGGAAATATCTTTTAATTCACTGTTCAGAGCAGAAGGCTGTTTAGAGCTGTTTTGTGTAAAATATAAAAAAGATGATGAAGGGAAGGCTGAGGCTTTTCAAATTATGACAGTATTGCAGATATCTAAATCTTGGAAGCAAAAAGTGATCTGCCTAAGTGTGTGGTGAGAATGACCCACAGTGATTGAGTACTTTTTAGAATGTTACAGTAGGGCTTTATAAGAAGTGGAGATTTATTATTTTTAGTACAGTATTATGTGGGTTTTTTTAAATCCTTCTTAAAGCCTGTTCATATTATATGTTAAGACAAATTTCTTTTGATTCGTATTTCTTAGACACTACCCTCATGCCTACTGAAACTAATCCATCTCCAAGAATGGCAACTCCACAGAAATAGCTTACAGAAAATACCTCAGTTCGTTGGAAGATTTCACAATCTTGTTGTTCTAGATCTCTCGCGGAATTCAATTGAAAGTATACCTAAAGAAATTGGTGAGCTGTGCTTTCTTTTATTTTAAACTGCTTTTTTAAGAAAATCAAGCATATGCAAACATGACATTTTTGTGCACCTTTTCTCTCTAACCATCCTTCTGGGAAGTTAAAAAACAGATGATGCAAAATTGATAGTGAGATAGCTATCTCAAAGCCTTTGCATTCCTAAAAATATGAAAATGCAGATGGCCAGATGGAGGAGACCCATGAGAAGAAAACTTGTAAACACACCAGATGCCAGACAGGAGAGAACTCATTCAACAAAATGAAACTGAAACATGTTCTGAGCTCACAATGTGAGTTGTCTATACTTGTAACTCTTCCTGTAGTGTTCAGGTGAAGTGATGTTCAGTATGAAAAAGTCTCCAAGATCTACCGCCAATTTCAGTGCATCTTTTTTTCAGTGAGCACTTGTTTAATGGACACAAAAATAGTACAAAAAAGTTGATCTTTTATTTCAGATATAATAAATATTCAGATTCATTCTTTATGATTTGTGCTCTCTGCAGGCCAGCTGACTAGCCTCCAAGAGCTGCTTCTCAGTTACAATAGAATTAAGTCTGTTCCTAAGGAAATAAGTAACTGCATCAGTCTGGAAAGATTGGAACTGGCTGTTAACAGGAATATCTGTGATCTTCCTCCTCAGGTTTGGGAAAGACAGGGTTGTTTTTAAATATGTATTTTGAATTCATCCAAGAAGGATTTCTATTAAAGGTAGTGCTCCGTGTTTTCAGGTTTACTTTAATTACGTAATTTCACTCCACATAGGCACATATATGACCAATATTTATATGAATAAACAAACTGAAGCCACATGACAAGGAATACATATACCTACATATTTAGAGTTTAAATTTTGACCAGATAAATGGCTTGGTAGAGCATATAAAGGACAATGATATGGTTGGTCATTTGTTGAGGCTGAAGGTCTTGAGTGATTTACCCCAGTGGGAATCTGACCCTTTAGCACAGAGAAGTCCTCTTTAAAGCTGAGAATACAAATTAATTCTGTCATCGAACAGTTGCATGTGCCTTTACCAGGGCTGCTACTTATGRGAAAGTTTGTATAACTAAATGCACAAAAAGTTGATCTAGCTCTTTYCTGAGGAGATTTCTGAAAAGATCTTGAAAGCAAGAAAGAATAAAAACCCTTGCTCACCTGTTATCGGACTTTAATTTGGTCTGATCTAGATATGAAGGAGTCTGCATCTTAGATACAGAGAGAGGCCAAATAGGTAAAGGCATTTACTCCTCTCAAATTATTKTAAAAGCAGTGGTAATAATGGTTGATAGCACTCAGTGACCTGCATAGTTGGGTCTAAGCAGTAAAACCGAACAACAAATCTTCAAATGAAAATTATATACTATTAAACAGGATCCAGTATTCACTAAATCCATGTGGATACAGTTTGCAGAATATAATATAAAGCAATAGTTTGAAAATGGCAGAAAATACTTCTCTGTCCTAGTGAAGATTGTAGTGATGTGAATACCTGAACTATATAGTTTAAATTTAGCCTTAATTATATGTACCTGAGTGATACTCAGTGTTTAGATGGCTGGACCAGATTTGCATTAAAGCATCTTTGTATCACTTATACAGTATAAGYGTGATTCACCAAAGACTGAAGTGTTGCAATACTGAATCATGGATCTTAATTTTTAGAATACCTTGTCATAATCATAACACTGAAAGCATCTAGGCTTACTCTAAGAATTCATAGATCCACAACAAAAATAAATGCTTGATTCCTGAAACTTGCATGGAGAACTACTGAAAATGTAGGAAACTGAGGAATTTCTTTAAATTGCTTTTCTTCTCAAGGTTTGGGGTATAACTAGATTGTAGTCATGAATTTCAGTTTCTCATCAGTTAGTGAACTCATGACCAGRTAGAAGATGTAGTTCTTCTGCCTGAGCAATTTGAAACCTACTTTGCCAGGTGAGTAGTGTTACTGTTAGGTAACATGATTAAATGTAACTCAGGTACAGTTCAGTTACAAAATCCAAAAGCTTTGTTTGTTTTTAATGTTTTTAAATCGTGTCTTTCTGTCAACATGATTAAATCACTGCAGTAATGGAACATTTATACAAACCTTCATTAAATCTCCCTCTCTTTTCAGCTCAGTGATTTGAAAAAACTTTCACATGTAGACTTGTGCATGAATCAGTTTACTACCATGCCCTCAGCTCTTCTCAATATGCCGTGTCTAGAATGGTTAGATATGGGGGGAAATAAACTCCAGGAGCTTCCTGACACAGTTGACAGGTAAGAAAAACTCGGTCATAATGTGGCATTTCTGATAAGATGTAATGATCCATTCAGTACATAAATGATCAATTCACTATTGGTTATCAAGTTAAATGATTTTGTTACAAAAATTTTGAGCGAGTAAATTACATCATTATCTGGTTTGTTTTTTTCCTGAAATGTCAGTATTCTTTTTGAGACTGTTATGTGACTGTTAAAATTAGTCAGTTATTCTGTATTAATGATTGGTGAGAATAATTTTCTAAATCTATAGTGATTGTGGAAATATCTGTTACAGAATGGAAAATCTCCATACGTTATGGCTCCAAAGGAATGAGATAAACTCTTTGCCAGAAACCATTGCTAATATGAAAAAACTGAGTACGCTTGTTCTCAGCAGCAACAGACTTAAGGATATTCCTGCTTGTATGAAGCATATGACAAATCTGAGGTAAGAAAAAAAGAACAAAAATCCAAATAAAAGAAACTAAGTTTTTAAGTCTCACTTGAGTTGKAAAGTCACAGAGTGGTATCTAAGGAAGTGGAGATAAAAAAAGGTGGAACAGATGGGTACAGCTCTATACAAACTRGCAGGTTTACAAATTCACGATTGAGGATTTGGTCAGTAAAGCTTTCTGTAGCACAACCCATCTAAAGATCTAATCTGTGATTTGAGATCTAACCCAGTCTAAACTGTGATTGTTATAGTACCARAGGTAAATAGAAACTGTTTAATGTTTGCTCATCCAAATTCCTGCTTCTAATAGGCCATTTAATACTTACTCTAAACCAAGAGTCYGGAGCTCTTATGAAGAGCATAAAACTGATGGAAAGTAGAATTTAGGCAAAATTCTTGGAGAGAGAAGATAAGAAAAAGGCATGAAAAGCCAAGCAACTATTAATTCATRCTAAGCAAAATGAAGTAGCTGTTAGGGTATAGATGAAACTCCTATCCTGGATTAGAAAAATTTAAAAGAGTTAACTGATAGTAAGAAGCATCTGTAGAGATGAGATTATTTTGTATACTCTGATAGGGAAGTTCTGCATATTTGTACTTTTAAGTGGAGAATGAGCACTGGTCTAAATATGTCTAATCAAGAAAAGGCAGCAATTCCCTAACTTCAGACCAACTAACATCCCTTCTAAGAACCATATACAGGCTCTCCCACCTCTAATATCTAGCCTGTGGGAAAAGACCAAGGTAGACATTTTGTGGCTGGAGTCTCAAACACCTTGGGGTAACTGTTCTGAAATTTAGTGCAGGTAAGGGATCGTTTTCCTGAAGTAGAGTTATGTCCCTGAAGCTTATCTGGAAAAACAGAAAAGAGGAAAAAATGTTATTGTGGGCCCTCTGTAGAGCCTGAGGGCTGCAGCCAGGCCCCAGTATGTGTGGAAGAGCAGGAGGAGGTGGTCCAGACGCAGAGTCAGGCAGCACTGCACGCACGTTCTGGTTCTGAGCCACTTGGCTAGTGGTGGAAGCTCAGCAACACTGACAGAGGGGTGAGAACCTGGAGATAAATTGGAGGCCTGCGATGGTTTTTCCCCGTGCTTCAGTTATTATTTGAAAAAGTCTTCTTAGCTTAGTTTACTTAGTAGTACTACTATACTGGTGTTTTTAAATAGCACAAAATAGCTAAGATTACATCAGAAAAACTACCCTTAAAATGARAGTTATTTTGTTCAAAATGCTACTTGATAAATCTTAATTCACTTTCAAAAGTGGACAAAATGCAGAAGTGCAAGACTGACTTTCTCTGATCAACTGTCAGATTTGTCAACTTCAGAGACAACCCACTGGAGCTGGAGGTAACACTTCCCCCATGTGAAGAMACAGAAGAGGAGGAACGGGAAATGTTTGGCATTGAATTCATGCACTTGTATATTCAGGAGTCACTCAAGAAAGCAGGTATGATGTTTTTATTGATTCTAATCCCTCTAGAATACAGTGAGGAAGGGAAGCATAAAGTGAATACATTAAAAATGAAACATGAAGAATCTTTTTAATAAATACATTTTCCTAAAGTTAAGATTTGTTCCTTAACAGACTRCTGTATGGGCCTGATCTTAGGAAATAAGTATCTAAACACAGCTTTCCTGAACTTGAAAATGGATGCACTTTAAGTATTTTAACTTATTTTTTAATCCATTTTTTTTTCAGAAAATGTGGAAAGTTACACTTCTGATCCTTCTTCTTATCGTGAATGCTAATGAATAAAGAATGTGATTTGGAAGAAAATATCAAATATACTTCTTCCTAACAAAGGTTCTACAGCACTCGAAAGGTGTTGTAAGTGATTCTAAGTAATTTTATTTTCCCATTGATGTGAACAGGYTTGCATAGTTACAATTCCCAGCAAAACTGGGAAATATAAAACCTTTTCCTGGGTTCAGGAAAGACGTGTTCAGGTTTTCTGTGGGCACTGAATGGGGGAGTAGATTTTTAATAATCTAGTAAATCTTGCAGTTTGTTTTCTACCAGTTCCAAATCTATTTCCTGTCATGTAGCTGGCTCTGATATCCAAGACTGCCTTGGAACAGCTGTCAACAGTACATTCTCCAAGGACACAGCAGACTCTGTGTAATACTGTAGATCAGCCTTATATCCTCTTTGTTGTAAATATTCAATCCGCCCGTGGTCAATCATCAGTTTACAGAGACAACCTATCTCCTTTCGCTCTTCAACAGTAAGTAGCCTAGAGAGAAAAAAAAAGGGGGGTTGGCGGGAAAGGAGAGCAGGTGTTAGAGGAATAATTTTACTGATTAACTTTAGTAGCTAAGTTTAGAAGAATAACATTAAGTGCATTTCAACCRAAGCAAACATGGTGGTCTAGATTTTGAAATGCTTGTCCATTTCAATTGTTTTTATAGAAACAYTGTACTTAGAGAAGCATGTTTTAAAATGAGTCATGTAAAGGCTTCTGTAAATTGAGTCCTTTTGAGCATCTCTAAGTACTTCATCTAGCACTATATGCAAGTTTGCTTTTTTTATCTAGCATATGAACTCTGACAAAAAAAACCACATACCCTTCTGGAGTGTCAGAACCATCTTCTGTTTTGCTGTATGTTTGCTCATGTTCTTCTGTGTTGTTAGTTTGGTCTCCACTCTCTTCATCATTCATAGATTTGCTCATGCTTTCTCGCATGCCACAAGTGGCCCAGCTACTCATTCTTTGATAATAATGAAATTCCACTGGACCAAGTCCTACTGATTTAAAGAACTCTTTGCCTACATAATGTGTCCAGTCACACCTGTGATGGCAACACAGTGCAATGACGATTCCAGCTACAGTTTTAGAGTTTTCTAATGTGCCCTCTTCATTCCTTTCATTATCAGGACAACTGTTGGAAGCCACCWCTGTTGTATCACTCTTAAAGCGTTTTAGTACAGGCTCTTCATTTTCTCCATCACTGGTAGTTGTATAACTTTCCACCAAACACCTCAAAGCAAGATCTGGGGGAAAGAAAAAAAAAAAGTAGTACTGAAAAGAAAAAAAAAGCCTAGTGATGAATATTGTGTCATTATTTTCATAGGTTGTATAATGGTTGGGAATGTCCTTCCCACAAAGAAGAAAATTATATATACCCATCTGTATTTCATACCTGTGGCAGCACCACACAAATGCTTCCCAATTCCTACCACGGGTAGGTTCTTTTTCTCTAAAATAGGTACTTTATCTGAAACAAGCAAAGGAAAAAGCCCAGAACTTTTATTCATATCCAAGCAAAAATTTGTAAATATTCTGTTTAATAGAGATAGAAACATACTATTAACATGTTCTCCCTCCACCCCCCCCCCAAAATAACCAAAAAAATCCCCAGAGAATTATCTTCAAAAACAGATTTATGCATTCTACACAGAAATGGACTTTAGACGCTGGTATTCAAAATCCATAAGTAAGCCTGTACCTCAGAATTCTGCAAGCCAAGAACAAACTTACTTAAACATAAATGCTGAATATCAACTTGAAGCCTTTCAAATACGGAATTGCTTCTCTTATGTTTTCCATCCACCTGCATAAAGAGAGGTACGATTAAGTAGCACTGGTCACTTAAAACCATCTTGCCTGCAGTTATCAATACTTGCCCATGTCCCTTTCAAATGCACATTTGCATGTCTTCAACACTAGACAGTTAAGATTTTTTTTTTCCCCTAATCAAGTTACTTTAGCAAAGCAGAGAATGTAGACAATCACACTTTCAAAAGACTTAATGCTTCAAAGGCTTTATTTGACAAAGATAGATCTTTTCTTTTGGAAGATAAAAATGAAATGCTCCTAGCTTCAGTTTAGACAGTTGAAAAAATATGTTCTGCTGAAATTTTCAGAAATTTCTAAAAAGTTACATGTGAAAATATTCATGCTTACCTTGAATCTTGTGGTTGCTCTTTCCACAAGCAAAAAATGAACATTGTCAGCATTTTGCAAGGCAATGTCAACCCAATGAGACAGCTTTCCTCGACCAGCTCCAAACTCAACAAAACACCTTCCTGGACCAAGCAAATGTAATTTTTCCATATTGCCTAAAATAGAAGCCTACAAACTTCAAATGATTATTTATGAATGAAGAAAACATACGCTATGTATGGTAATGTCTTACAGGAAAATGATTGTTTCACCAAACGACACAATGCGTCTTTAAATTCTATTCTTTGATATCATCATGAAAGAGCTAACATGAATTAAGTGGCTTGTCTGTACAGAGGAAAAGGACTACAAGTTCAAGCAAATGAGCTTCATGCTGCTGTTCTACTTTCTACAGAAGTCCATCTAAAAGTTTGTAGAATGCTTTTTGGGCATTGGCTACAAGTCACAGTATTGTTTGCTGCTGATTCTCAATGTGGCCATCTAAAATCCATGTACTGTACAGGACACTGTGAAGCATCACCCACTTCTGGGCCTGCTGCAGCTATGCATTTTTTAGTGCAACAGAAAGGAAAGTAGAGGGCATGAAAAAAGTACCGAAAATCCTATTTTATATTTCTTTTCTTCCCAAACTTTCAATTTTCTTACAGGATGTCATCTGTCTCCCTTAACATTCCTTCTATATAAGATGAAAAGAAGGCAAAGTCAAGCTAATTATTTTTATGCATCTGTTACATAACAGGAAAGTTTAGTCTYGTATCTTACAGAAAAAAATAAATTCCTGATAGTTCTTAGTAAATACAATATTTCACCTTTGTAACTCAAATTTACTGTAAATCAATGTAAGACTAYATAAACAATAACTCAAAATATCCCCACACAGCTTGTAATTTTTTTTCAGGATCATAATAAGTTTTTGTGACTACAGATATTAACAAAGCAGCTATTAAGATTCTACATACAGGCTAATATTTGAGAGCATTTATTATATGCTGTATCTGAAGAGACTAATATCATGTGCTGTCAACAGTTGCAATGTACTGTTGTATRTATTTTTTAAGATATCTGTAGCTAGTAGTAAGATGATAATGATACCTGTTGTTTCAAGTGCTTGAAAGCAGATTCTCCATTCTTTGGGTCATTTAGGGCTTCCTGTAAAACTTGATGAGATAGTATTTGTTCCTTATGGTGAAGTTCCAAGCCTGTATGCAAATGCAAACATTTTAGTATAGGTTTCTAGTTTCAAGAGGGTTTTTTTTTCCCTCAATCTGTATGTGTTCAGACACAAGCCTAATCTGTGGAACCAACAAAACAGACTTTATCTATTATGAAGCATTTACAGAAGAGCTGCAATGTTATCTCTAGTGATATTTGAGCAGAGAACCAACACATACAAAGAAAAGTGTGGAAATAAGCTCAACGAATGAAACACCAGTCATTTGCCATTTGTCCAATCTGTTTTATTCTTCTGAGTAAAACTTATCTGTGAGGATTGCCTATATCTTGATACTGACTATTCCAGATGCATTAAGTGCCAAATGTCTATCAGCCTTTTCTCCTCAATACTTAAAAACAAAAGCAACAAAATATTTTATCAGTTCTATTTAGAACATCTTATTTTCCATACTATGTTAGCTTACCATCACTTGCTTTTTTCAACTTGATGATTAAGTCTTCCAGCTCTTCTTTAGACAGAGAAGAGATAGGTATCTGCTTAAAGGGAAGAAAAAAAAATTTTTTTTTTTGGCCATATAATAGATTTTGCAACTTGTTGCACAGGGATCAAGCATTAGAATAATTGCACTCACTTGTATTTCTGGTATTTCTGTCACATCTTTTAAACCTGCATTAATATCTTGAACAAAGTAGACCTTGAAAAGAAAGAAAAGAAATCTGATTCTGTTAATTACCATCGAGAAAAAAACTTAAGTTCTTCTGTACTTTTACCACAAGATAAACGGCAGTAGGAATCCACTGCAGAAGAACCAAACAGAATTCCCTTTTCCTGGTGAAAGGTCCGATTCTGCTTTCCTGGGCACAGTTTGACAGGACTGAACATGCCCCAGGAATTAGGCTGAGCCCARTGTCAAGCCGGAGTCTCCCACATCCAACTCACGGCAAAGCAGCGCCGGCCACACTTACCGGCTTTGGCTTCTCTCTTGAATTGCACTTTTTTAAATGCTTTTGCAGTTGGTCTTCATACACTGTGCTAAAAACCAAGTGGGGAGAAACCTGAGTGACAGTTTTTACAACCCCATTACAGAAAAAGCGAGGCGCCGGCTTTACCCGCACTTACTGCWTGGGATCGAGAGGGCACGGGATCCTTCTCCTGCCGCCTTCCCCCTGGGATTAAAGCATGGGCATTAGACAGAGCTTCCGCAAGGCCGCCCGCCCCGCAGAAGCGCCGCCAGCCCCGCTACCTCCAGCTGCCCGTGCTCCCCGCAGAAGCGGCGCCCGGCGGCCGGCACCATCTTGCAGAAGCGYTTCTTCCTCTGCACGAAGTAGGCGCAGCGGCCCGCCAACGGCTGCGGCGCCGCCATCGCCCTCCCGGCACCCTCTGCGGCCGCCGGGGCCGCCTCCATCTTGAGGCTCCTCCTCCGCAGGAGCCGAGCGCCAAGCTCAAAGCGCAAGATGGCGGCGGAGAGCCTGTTCAACCGCGCGCTGTGCGTGCAAGTGCGGGGCCAGGGCTGCGAGGAGAGGTAAGCGCCTGGCTGCGCGCGCTCGTTTTCTTYTCCGTCTCCTCTCTGGCGGCCGGGAAGCTGCCACTTTTCCTCGGGAGGCGGGCACTGGAGCGGCAGGCTCTTCTCGCCCGCTCCCGCCTACCTGCGCCACTCCGGCCCTGTGGGTGCAGGGGAAGGATGTTTGTGAGGGCCGGGGAACACAGTGTGAGGCGGGGGGGCACGTTGGGGGTGCCGGGGGCGGCGGGGCCGGAGCGGCGGGTGTCGGCGCGGCGGGCCCGGCCGTGGCGCAGCCGCGCGGCGCCAGCGCGTCCCCGGCGCCGCGGTTGCCCGTGGAGGCGGCGGGGCCGCCCCGCCGCGGCCTCCTGCAGCGCCTCTCCCCGCTCCCGCGGCTGCAAGCGGCGCGGCGCCCTCCTGGGTTGGTTGTCGCGTGGTGTCCAGGTGCTCCCGTTTCTGGTGGTTGGGGGGTAGTGATGTGACCCACCTGTGGGGTTTCTGGCGGTGGGGGAGGTAGTGATGTGACCCACCTSTGGGGTTTCTAGGTTGGGGGTAGTGATGTGACCCACCTGTGGAGTTTCTAGGTTGGGACRGCTGGAGATTGCTTAGTGTATTTTGTATTTTTCTTGTCCCTGCAAGCTTCTCTGCCTGTGACTGCAAAGCAGAAGTACTGGTATGACAGTTTTACATAATGATTAAGGCAGTTCTGGAGATGTCCTAGTCCAACCCCCCTGCACCAAGCATGTTGCACAGGGTCATGTCCAGGTGGGTTTGGAATATCTCCAGAGAAGKAGGCTCCACAGCCTTTCTGAGCTCTGTTACTGCAGCATAGGATTTTCCTCAAATTCAGGCAGTACTTTGGTTTGTGGCTTTCTGTCGGGAATTTCCAGTTGTGGGTTTKTGGTTATTGCCTCTTCTCCCGTCTCTGGTACCAATGAAAACAATCTGTCCTCATCCTCTTGACACCCTGCCTTAAGATTCCTTGTCATTGTTCTGTTCTCCAGGCTAAATAAGCCYAGCTCTCTCAGTCTGTCCTGATAGGAGAGGTGTCTCAGTCTCCTGATCTTCTCTGTGGCCCTGTGCTGGACGTTTTGCAGTAGCCCTGTGTCCCTCTTGTACTTTCCCTTCATCTAGGTCAATGATGAATAAATCGAGTAGGATTGGACCCACTACTGATCCCTGGGGAGCTCTGCTGACTAYAGGCTTCCAGCTGAACTGGTGAGGCAGACTGGCCTCCTCCTTGCTCTTTTAGAAGGCGGGTGTGACATTGCCTTCGGTCCTCCGGCACCGCTCCTGTTCCCCATGACCTTTCAAAGATGTTGGAAAGTGGGTTAGCAATAACCTCTGCCAGCTCCATCGGCCCCTCTGAGAACATCCCATCAGGGCCTGTGGGTGTGTGAGTGTCAGGTTTGCCTGACTGTTCTCTTAACACAATCTTCCTCAGCCAAGAACGAGTCGTCCTTTCTCCACACTTCTCTTGTCTCCAGAGCCTGGGATTCCTGGGGCTGCCTTAGTAAAGACTGAAGAAAGGCAGCATGCAGGAACTCTGCCTTTTCTGTGCCTTTAGTAGCCAGGGCACCCACCCTCTTCAGCAGCAGACCCACRTTTTCTCTAGTCTTCCTTTTGCCATTGATGTATTTGAAGAACTTCCTCTTGTTGTCCTTGACATCCCTTACCAGATTTAATTCCAAATGCATCTTTGTCTTCCATGTTGCATCTCTGCACCCTGTGGTAACGTTGCTGTGKTCCTCCCAAGTGGCCGGCACCCCATTGCAGAAATCGCTATTTTCCTCCTGGAATTTGTTAATAAATTTCAGTAGAAGTTTTTCAGAAGTTTTAGTTTGTGACAAATAAGGCAATGAAAATGTCAACCTTACTATTTAAAGTACAAATATACATATATTTAAGGAATAAATTTCTTCATTTGTTAATATGTTGCCTTTTTGTCTACACAGGAGATTAAATGTTCGAGTGAATATTGAGCTGCTGTCAATTTCTAATCCTGTTCATAAAAAAGTGAGTTATTCATTTGCATTATGCTGYTGAAAGCTAAAGGTGATTCACCTGGTTTACTTTTGTGAGAAAGTTTTGCTGTTTTTCTCTCTGTAATATTTAGAAATACAACTCTGCGAAATGTTATTTTTTCCCCACAGTTCTAAATTAATTGTCACCATTTTAGCTTATTCTTGGTTTAAAAAAAAGTAAAAATATTTAATATACTGCTTGCAGTATTCAGTTCTGATGTTTAAATGTTCTTTACAAGTGGATTATAGTTGTGAAATCATACTGAAATATGTTTCTCTTCAGGATTTAGCTGTCCGATTGACTGATGATTCTGATCCTTTTTTCCTTTATAATCTTGTCATATCTGAGGAAGATTTTCAGAGGTAAATGAAGTCATAATATATTTGTGAACGTTGTGTCTCAGTTTATTGTAATTACTCAGAATGTGATCATTGGATTTGGGCASTGAGCATGAGAAGCTTAAAAAAACAAAACAAAAAAAATTGTGATCAGCATGTGGTCATGGTCAAAAGGGAAATGTCAAGCAGCACTTCTAAATCATGTTCTGAGGAAGTGTTTCATTATGCAAGGTCTGGCTTACACACAGCCTGTTGAAAGTCAGTTTCTGTCTTTGAAATCAATACATTGTAGTAAAGATACGTAAAATAGACAAGTAGGCAGATAAAACCTTTGAATGGTTGAATATTCCCTAACGTGCAACGCAGTGTCCTTTGCTCCTTCCCTGCATTCTTATCTGATAACCTCATTGTACTGTGCTGTAAGGAAGACAGTTATTTAAAGGAATGTATTTGTTCTGGCACAATAACCTTTCTTGGGTGCAGGCCATTTGCAAGAATTCTTTAAATTAAAAATAATCTCTGGTGATTATTATCCAATCACATGATTATATTTCTTCTGTATTCAGGGTTGAAAATAATAATAAATTTTAATAGCCTGATCCAGAAGGTTCTTTATGCGAGTGGGAATAAAATATTTCATTGGAAATAAATAACACCTACATGTAATATTAATGTTTGTTTCTTGTATTTTGACGTAGCTTGAAATCCCAGCAGGGTCTCTTGGTAGACTTTTCTTCTTTCCCACAAAAATTTATAGATCTGCTTCACCAGTGCATTCAAGAACAGAACAAAGATATCCCAAGGTAGGTAATAAATGTTCTACTGTATATTTGTGTGCGGTTCAAGGTCTTAAAATACATAAGTCAAACGCTCAAAGACTAAGGAACAGTCAGTAGAATGAGGTAACCTAATCTTGTCCCGGGGGTATCTAAATACCCATCAATGAGTGTTACTGACCAAGCCTAAGTCTTGTGGGACCTGAGCAGTGGGATGGGTGTTCAGTAGCAGTTTCCTTATCGGAGCTGGAGATAAAGTAGCAGACATGAGAGGCTGCAGTGCTAGAGTTTCAGCGGCGCAGCTGTGTGCGGGAAGGACCGAGGTGGAAATCTTCCACAGGAGCAGTTAGGGTACAAGGTGTTCTGATAAGGGCTCTCTCTCTCACTTTGCCTAGCTGGACAAATTGTTTCTTTTTTTGTTGTTGTTCTTAAATGTCATCATGTSCCCTAATCTGTTTTGTTACTTGATGTAGAAGCTCAGAATTACCTACACCCCCCCATCCCCGCCCTGGTCAGAGAAGCATTTTAGTTTGTTATTTTCTGTGTGTGAATACTGAGAGAGTTCTCTCTAGATTACCTACATCTAGGAATTATGCCACTTCCCAAAGTACATACTATGTGGTGTGGATTTCCCTTGGTAAAGGGATTACATTAAAGTCATGAGTTCTTTCTTGTGAATTTGTTATGAATGCTGCTGTTGGTTTTTTTTTTTTTTTTTTTTTTTTTTGATTCCTAAATTACTAGTTTTCATTATATGGGCTTTTGAAAATCCTATCTGAATAGTTTTATACATTTGTAACAAAGTGCAAGCATTTTAATTGATACTTATTTGTAGTATCAGCTACAAAAAGGTATTGAATTTCTTTTCCAAACAAAAACTGAACAGTCTTTTCATTACATAAGAATATATTCTTATTTAAAAATAAGTTGTGGGATTTGCAGTTTCAATAAAGAAATGTGTACTGAACATGGCGAATTTTTTTTTTTTCCTCTAGGTTTTTGCTGCAATTAGTTTCTTCAGCATCTGTTCTGGATCACATGCCTGTCTTTCTAAATGTGGTGGAAACAAACCCTTTCAAACACCTTACACATCTCTCTCTGAAATTCCTACCAGGAAATGATGCAGAAATAAAGAAGTTCTTAGCCAGCTGTTTGAAAAGCCTTAAGGTAAAGCAAAGGTTTCTCACAGTTGCAGCTAGGCCTTTGTGCCATAGGTCTTTAAGCATGTTTTCAGTCTCATTGCTTTGAAAGTATGCACCAATAATACCCAATAATTTAATACACCAATAATTTGAACTGGCAGAAAATCAGGTCTTTCTACTTGCAGTGTGTGTAGCAGGCAGCTGTTGAAGGCCCCATCGTTTCTTGCCTTGTGCTGTCAGTCCAACTGCAAAAGGGAAATACTGTGATCTTTGACTCTTAATTCTGCAGTTGACTCAAGCCAACTAAATGTAATTCTAAAGTCTTATGGCCTTCAAAAGACTGATCTCTATAAACAACATATGAAAATTGTAAAGTCGATGCCCTTGGTAGCATGCCAGACTTTATTTAATAAACAAATTAATCATCTCATTGTTAGATAAACACTTTGGCTGTTGTCTGTATTTCAGTTTCATCGATAGAATGGGATTTGTCTCTTTACTGAGCTACGTTTTTTATAACCACCTGATAAGCTGTTTTAGCATAAGAAATTTACAATATTTATGTACACGTTTCTTCATGCAATTCCTTTGAAAATCCTCTTGATAAGATCCTGAAGCCTTCTAGAAATTAGATAAGGGTTTAATTTAGGATATTTACCTTCTATGCTTTTTCATTGTTATTTTTTTAATTTATGAATTATATCTTGTTCAAGATGCAATTTATCTAAAAGTATGTTTTGCCACAAATACGATGGATAAATGGTTACTTAGGCAAGATACACTGATACAATGGAAGTTAAATACTCTTGTATTTTGGAAGCTAAAATACAGGGATTTCAATTGATGTCAATTTGTATATAGGAAGACAAAGAGATGCTGGAACAAAAGCTTAGAAAAACTGAAGAGGATTTTACTAGGCAGTTGAGCTACGCTCAGCAGGTAACATAAAGTTTATCTTTCCTTGAGAAAAAAGAAGCATTACAACTAAAAAATATTTAGTTCTTACTGTTAATTTATGTTCAACTGCCATTTAGTTTAGCTCGTCACACGCAAATATTCATATGTGTGTGTGTGTGTGTATATGCTAATGTGAAGACACRTATTCTCTACATACTCTGAATGGTTGGAAATGCTTATATTGCCAAAAATGGGGAGCTCTGATAGATAAATTAGAAGTCTTGATTTTGCATTATGGGGCCGCTGTTTAATTGCATAATGGGTTCAGCAGTGCACTAGTCCAGCTAGAGCACTTTGTGTTTAAAACTTTCAGAATATACCATGCTGGGGACTACTGGCAGACTGTTTTCTAGTCTTGAGTAATGATTGAAAGATGATAAAATTGGGAATGAAGATTRTTTTATCCAGAATATTAGGAAGATGCTGTTTATCTTCTTGGTGTTTTACTTTGCTGTTTGTAGAATGAACGTGTATTGTAGTGTTTGGTATTGAGTTGAAGCTGCTTGTAATAGTCTCATGTCCTTTTAAGAAGCAAATGTAAAGAACTGGCCAGGATTAAAACTTAGTTCTTTGAGACTCTTTATGATTTGTCAAATAGAGCCTGTCAGAAAAGAGCCAAGAACTGGAGAAACTGAAAAATGAATGGACCAMATATACCACAACACTAACAAGCAAACACAGCCAGGAACTGACAAATGAAAAGGAAAGAGCTCTCCAGGTAGGACACCTGGAAAGAATCACAGTATCTTCAGATATCGGTAGTTTCTTGTTTGAATTTACAGATTTACTGCACAACTACTTAGTTTGCTTTGTTTCGTATTCTAGGCACAAAGCCAGTACCAGCAACAGCATGAACAACAGAAAAAGGAACTTGAAAGTTTGCATCAGAAGAGTATTCAGCAGTTACAGAGCCGACTCTCAGAACTGGAGATCATCAATAAAGATCTAACAGAAAGGAGATACAAGGGAGACTCCACAGTTAGAGAACTGAAAGCAAAGCTCTCTGGCATAGATGACGTATGGCTTATTAATTTTCATAAACAATCCTCTTTCTTTTAGAGCATTATAGGCCTATAGAGCAATATGTATAGGCTGCTAGCCTGTGCATAATGTATCAAGTGAAAATATAGCATACTTACAGTGTCTGTTCAACTTCTCTATCGCCATKTAAATTGTGGACTTCTGTCTTTTGTTAAGAAAAGTTATTTCCAACATGCTAGGAATGCCAGAGAGCCAAGCAGGAGGTGCTGTCGCTGCGTCGGGAGAACACCACTCTGGATGCCGAGTGTCATGAAAAAGAGAAGCTCATTAATCAGTTACAAACACGAGTTGCTGTTCTGGAACAAGAGATCAAAGATAAGGATCAGCTGGTTGTTAGAACAAAAGAAGTACTGGATGCAACACAAGAACAAAAGGTTCCTTTAATTTTCGAAATGATTCTCTCTCAAACTCTGTAGAACCTGGTTAATTGCAGCCTCCACAGATGAGCAAATTTTCTGAATGTAGCAGGTTTCCAGTTACCACTTAAAGATGCTAAATTTTGGCATGAAAAGTATACTTTAAGTTACTTCAGTAAACTTGGGTAGTACATGTTGTAATCCAATTGTAATCCAAAAAGTGGATGGATTGGGAGATCCCTTTATCATAGAGATGCACAGCTACATGTATTTTAAATATTAGATTAGTACTCAAGCAATTATTAAGATTCTCCTTAAAAATGTAAGTTATGTCTAGTGTGTCTGTCTTTAGCACCATGAAATCTTTTGCTTTCTTTTAAAGGTGATATTGGAAGAGGGTACAGAAAAGAAACAAAATCATATYGAAAAACTTGAGGCAACAATTAAGTCACTGTCAGCTGAACTTCTCAAGGTTTGTTGAGCTTTTCGTACCCTTATGAAATGTTTTCCTTTAAGTGTTGCTACTTTTTTTTCTGAAAATATCTGATTTTTTTTTAATAGGCTAATGAAATTATCAAGAAACTACAAGGAGATTTGAAAACTCTAATGAGTAAACTGAAATTGAAAAATACAGTAACAATTCAGCAAGAAAAATTGTTGGCAGAAAAAGAAGAGAAACTACAAAAGCAACAGAGAGAATTGCAGGAAACTGGACAATCTCTTCAAATGAAAGAGCAGGAGGTACTTAGAGAGGCTGGCCCCTCTGCCTTGTAACTGGGATTGTGCATAATGTGTGGATTATTAAAAAAAAAAAAAAAAAGCTTTAAAATGTTTTATATATAGATGTCTTATTYAATTCTGTGTGCATTTCCCCAGCCCCCATAATATGCTGATTTTTAAGAGACATCGATCCTTATGGAAGGAAATTGAAATTGCCTTGCAATTTCTAAATAGCAAATTCATCTGCATGCTTTAGATGACACAGGTGAAAGGTGGTGAAGAAGGAAAGAACAGGAACAGAGTGAACTTGTCTCTGTACMCTTAAATATTACCCTATTAAGATCTTTTATATGTAGAAAAGTTAAATACTTTTCTACTACTACTACTGACAGGTTTATTTTAAAAGAATCGTAGTATTTCTGCATAAAACTGGATTCAAGTTTCTGTAAATCATTTTTTTGCTGAACTTTTTCAGATTCCTGACCTTTTAACYTATACTATAATTTTGCTTCAGTTTCTAATAAATAGTATTCTTGCTTGTATTAAAATTATTATGGGAACGTTGCAGGTTTGCAAGCTACAGGAACAGCTAGAAACTGCAATACAAAAACTGGACGAAAGCAAGCAGTTATTAAAAACCAATGAAAATGGTATGTCTTTACATCACAGTTCTAAGTGAAAACTAACGGCAGGCCGTGCTTTTTAGTAGCTGTGGTTACTGCCAGCCCAGCAGGGGGGTTTTGGTGCGATGCTGAGCAGCAGCTCCAGCACTTGCAGCGGCTGCTTGGGGTAACCGGCCGCCTCTGGCACTTGCCGCCCTCGGGTGGAGCCTGGCTCGTGGAGGAGGGAGCAGGGAGACATGCTGGGAAGCTGCTTGGAAGAGCCTTTGCACGACGTGGGAACTTACGGGGAAGAAAATCAGGCTGGATTGTTACTTTATCGAGGAAGTGCTGCTTGGATTTTAAACAATTGGTAAGGGTAGGAAGTCACCTTGTCTCTTTTTTCCCTCCCCTGTGCAGTAATCACATGGCTAAACAAACAGCTGAATGAAATTCAGATGACAAAGAAATCAGAGGCTTCTAGCAGTCCTCTTGGTGGTGGAAGGACTGGCGTTTCACCTCAAGGCATGGTAAGATACCAGAATAAATAACCTATGGTTACTGTGTAGTCATTATTTCCTGCAAACTGTAGCATGTTCTTTGGCCCTTTCAGCCTATTTTTATTAAATAAGACTTGCTAATTTTGGAATTTTGAATCGATACAGAAAGTTATTTTAAACTGTATTCTCTTCTCTAAAGATTTATTTCCGTTTGTCTGGCAGCTTGACCGACCAGCCTTTCAGAGCTCGGCGCTCAGTCACCCCCTTTCTCCGCTGTATGCGCTCCAGAACTTTCCTGAGCCAGCCTGTAGGAAAAGTGCCAATCCACAGTGTCCAGGAGCAAAGGCAAGCAGCAAGGCTTGTTTGTTGGGCTAGAATGTGGTAGCAAAAACTTTCCAAGTGTAATGTTTGACTTCTCAGATGATGTTCTGCCTGCACAGCCTCCTCCTGCCGGGCTCCAGCTCTCAGGCTAGCTGGTAACAGSGAGCAAATGCCCCTTTGTGCCTGCTGTGCAGCATGAGAGCTGTGAGGGCACAGAGCCTTTCGCCCTGGCAAAGCCAGGTGCTGCCTGCTCGTGGGCACCCTCGCGTTACCCTGTGGCTCTCACCTCTCTGCAGGTTCAGTTTAACACCCAGCTGTCTAAAATGAATCGCTGTGCAGATGGTCAGACTGCAGTGACTGCTGCCTCTGCGCCCCCAGCGAATAAAGAGAAGTGAGTATTTGCTCTGTTTTCTTCGTTATAACACCTTGTCTTCTATGCCTACCTAAGCAAGAAAGTGCCCRAGCAGCTGGTTCTATGTGCTGCCTGTGCCCAGCACCGCGGCCTTGCCAAGTCCGGCCTGCGCCTGCCCAGGGCTGCTCTTTGAGGATGTGGCCAAAGGAACAGGAGCCGCTCGTCCCTTCTGCTGCTGGAGCGAGAGCTGTCAGGGGAAGGGCCAGGCACCAAGCGCCAGCAGCTCTGCACTCCTGGCCGATTCAGGCTGGCTTCCTTCAGTGTTCACAGGAACTTACTGGTTCGACTTCCTGTGTTGAAAAATATATTTTAACTGTGTAGGTACACTTCTTAATGCATTGCTAACTAACTTTGAGATTTATTTATTATTATTTATTTCTAGTGGTGATAGTTTTGGGCTGGAACCAAAGTATTTCAAGAAGAAAGAAGACAGCATTCCGTTACGAGGGCTTAGTCAAAACACACTTAACTCAGGTATGTGTGGAAAGAGTAAAACAGAAGCTTGTTGGACTCTGTAGAGGGCTCTAGTGATGGCTGTTTGACCAATCTCCTATTTCTGCTCCTTGACAGAGTATTTGAAAGCCTGCTTACCAACAAAAGCACACCCCTCAGCAAAACCTGCAGTGACAACTGCCTCTGCTTATTTTCCTGGATAGTAGACAGTGCTCTTAAAGTAAGAGTTCTCTTAATCCATGCAGGGGGGTTTTTGCATGTCCTATAACTAAGATATTTAATAAATAACTACTTACAGGTCAGGCATGAATGCAACCCAACTTTTTTTTTTTTTTTTTTTTTTTTTTTTGTAAAGATCAAATTGCTTCCTTTCAGACTTATAAGCTATAACTTATTCCTTAAGTTATAGTGGGGGGGGGGGGGAACCATGCAAGCAGGCCCCAATCTCTGCGCTTGGACATGGGACCTATGCTCTTCCTTGAAAAATGTGACTTGGCTATTGTAGGAAGGGGTATGTGTGGCTTAGTACTTGGTTAAAAGCTACACGTACTGTGCAGCCRAGTGTGTGTGAACAAGGCTCCTGAGTGATTTCAGGGAGGGAAGAAGGCAATAGTTTTGCAKCAGTTTCTGGAACATGTGCGATCCTTTCTCTCCCCATTTTAATGCTGAAAATTTGCTTAATTTAGGAAACAGGTTATTTGAACAAATACAGTCAGACTTGCAGATAAGGCAGTTTACACGAAGAATCCTAAATAGGGGAACCATGTTTCAACTTCCTTCTGTGACGTGTTCCCCTTGGTGTCCCAGAGAAGATGGGGAATGCAGGTAGTGCTGATATCAAAATGTGTTTTTCAAGGACACGTCCCATACTTCTGGTTCCTAAATATCAAACTAAGGAAAATGTTTGAAAACTTTTTAAGTACAACCAAATGACTGTATATAAATGACTTGTCTTGCAGTGCAGAATGTGTATATTTGTTTATGCTGATCATTCATGTTAATGTATAGTCACTTYTTTTGATATGTATAGATTTCACTGGAAATATTAAATGTTTTTTTTAATCAACTCTGTTCCAATTAGTTACTATAACACCCTAGTATGATCTCCCCTCGAGAGCGATGCCGKGATGAGGTAAGTCCCAGACCAGCACAATGGAGACACGTTACCTTTTCCTGGAGCTTCTTCCAGCTCCTCCTTTTTGCCTTGCACCAGGGCCCTGCGGGAGCAGCACGACCAGCCCCAGAGCCACCCTCTTCTAAGTCTCTCYGCTGCTGCTGGTTGTTTCTGTAGCAAGTGCTAATTTAGGTGAGTTTTTAGGCAAATTTAGTTTAGGTGAATTTAGTTTTATTTTGAAATATGTAAGCGGGTATCAAACAGCAATGTGGTAATTAAAATGTGATCATTTTCTTTAGCCTAGTCCTAATTTAGATTGTATTAGGACAGGAGAGGCCAACAACAGATTCCAGAATCAGGGGAGCAAAAGCTCTAGCATTAAAGGTTAATTTTAGTCAGTACTGACTATCTTAAATAAAATTAATTACATACATATATATAATTTATAAATAATCTGTCTATATATAAACAATTTATTCCTTTATAGCTCCTTGAGGAAAAACAAATCACCACGGCTAGTTCTGCGCTGCTAAATAAAAGAGAAAGCCTCCAAGTGAGGGGCACAATCCTGTAATTTAACAGGTAAAAAATACAACACTCAGACTTTAGCAGGTGTGAAGAGAAGGCTGAGGTCTCACACGCATAGCAGATGATTGTGATTAAGGTTTCAAGAGCAATTAACAATTATTTAAAAATTCATTAAAATATTCAACTTTATTAACAGAATATTTACATTTTTTTTTCCTGCTCTTGGTCAATCATGGTGAATGTTCAAAGGTAAAAAAGCATTTAAGCAATAACCACAAGATGAAAACATTTTAAACCTATACAATACTTTATACACAAATTTATACAAAAAAACACTTAAATAATACAACTGGACACAAAAATATACACTTTTAGAGAAATTCACATCAGTAATTGTATATAAAGCTCTCTTCTGTACTAAGGGTCCTGGAAATTTAGGACTAAAACATTAGCTCTGTAAAGGAAAAGGGTTCTTGTGACAGTCCTCCAAGGCCACTGTAGAGCACACTGACATATTCTCAAGGCTATCAGCTTATTTCAGTTGTGTATTCAAGTTTTTGAGGTCCTTTATGATTACACAAACATCAGAAATACAGTGGTGTATCATAAACGGTACTGAGGAAAGCAGAGTTTTAGAGCCAGTATTAAAACGTCGTAGGCTCAAAACACCCACTTAGTATTTAAGTACTTGTTTAATACTACCGTTTATTCAAAAATAGAAAGAGTAATGCACTTACATAAAAAGAACTTGTACTGTTCAGCAAGCATGTTCACGTGATTTTTATATTAGTACAAACATAAGAAAAAAAATCTGTCATATGACTTTCAGAATAAATGATACCAATTGACCTTCTTCCTACTTGAGTACATTTACATTAAGGCTTTGAATCATCTGACCCAAGATTTTACAACTTTAAAATGAATGGGTCCACATGGGTGCTAGTCTGTCTCATTGAGACTTATCATGAATAAGATTAAAGCTCACCACCTTAAGGAAACAGGACACATGCTCGTAGACTGACTATATATTATTCTTTAGTCTCTCAACTAGGATGTAAGGTTTAATAGTAACAGTATTTTATGGCAAGAGACAAGTGCTTAACTTTTTTTCTTTTTTAAAAGCAAATTATTAATTTAATGGCAACATCTTTGGAGAAACTTCCAGTTTTCTTTTAACTCCTACAAGTTTCATGCAAAAAGATATTTCTTAAGATTACCTTAAGAAATTATATTTTTGACCAAAGTGGAATGTGTATCCCAAACTGCTGATGAAACATTCTAAAAAGTCTTCCTGGCTGTTTTTGTCATACGTTTGTGTCTTGCAGTAATGGTTCTTTAGCCTCACCCGGAGCTTGTGGACTGTGGGGATGGCCGTGACCACCACAGTGCTTTTTCCAGCTGCCAGACCGCACGGTTAGGTTGGTGTGTTCGGGAATAAACAAGGCAACAAGTAGAGCCAACAACACAGAGCATGCTCCAAAGAGAAAGGGGGGTCCAGGAATTATGGAATTCTGAAAAGAAAACTGGAATTATTGTGGAGCCAGAGACATGCATTAACATAATAAGCTAATTACACAGATTTTTAAAAGGGAGAGGACTTTTCCTGTTGCTCTGTCTGCGCAGAGGGAGAGCACCTGCACTGCCTGAGATGGGGGAAAGGCAGCAGGCGYGTCTTGCTAAACACAGCCTCTGGCCTACACTGTGTCCAGCAGGGCAGCAGCTCAGGGGTAGCAACTAGCCCAGATCAGGGCTGGCCTGGTAGAGAGGCTGAAGTCATGTTAGATTTTTCTTAATTAGACATTCATGTACTACGTTAGTCTAGAMGTGTCACGGTGACATGACTTGCAGACCTCAGACCTGTTTCACAGAGACAGATGTACTGATACAATTTTAAGAAGGATACATTAAAGAAATGTGATAAAGAGAAAGAAAAGTGAGTATGTGTGCTTGTAAGTTAGCAAGATAACAGTAATTCAGGCCAAGTTACACAGTACTTTTAATTTTATCAGTATATCAGGTGTAGGAGGAGTTTATATTCAACTCCAAATGAGTGTTATTTTAAAATAATTAAGTATATTTTTCTCACAAATTACTCAGCTAATTAATAAATTTTAAAAAATATATTAAAGAGATAGTGCTGCTTGTTAAGTTAAAAATGTACCTGTTGTAAATGGTATTGTGTGTCCACACTGCCTCCTGATGATGTTTCAGGCATTGGGAGTTCATTCAGTTCAACATGAAATATATAGAATATAAAACCATAAAGTGCTGGTCCCAAACCATTACACAGTCCTCGAATTCCTGTTATCATCCCTTGAACAACTCCTGGAAAAAAAGGGAAAATATACTGTCATCTGCTAGGTGTGTGTGTACACACAAATATATACACACACACTCACTCTCTCTCTCTCCCCCTGTCTATATATATTATATATATATATATATAATGTTCTCCCTATACATAGGTGCTCTCTATATATGCTATCTATCTATATGCTCTATATGATATGAGCAATCAGGCAGCCTTAGTGCCTCCCTGTCACATAGATGCAGACAGGCTCCGAGCCTCCCCCCCGGTCGCACACGGGGCTGTGTCATTGGTCAAAATGAACGAGCAGGGGCCAAGCTGCCCCCGCTGAGGCAGGCGCTGCCCCCGCTGAGGCAGGCGCTGGCACCGGCGCACGCTCTGTGACGCGGGGGCGTGCCGTGTCCGTGGTGCCCGCGCGCACAGACCTACCCTGCTGGTCGGCATCCGCCGTGCGGGACACGAGGGCGCTCACGGCCGGGAACGTGATGCTGGACATGGCTGCGACCGCCCCCGCCGCCCACATCATCCTGCGGAGAGACACACTCAGCTCCGGCGCCACAGCAGCTTCCCTGTCCCCTTCCCGCAAACAGTGGGAAAGGCTCCGCGGCTCAGCTCGGCACCAGCCTAGGTAAGGCAACTGGCCCAGCACGACCCTGACTCAAAATCTTGGTCATGCTCTTTGAATCTTTCTGGAGTAAACAGCACTCAGCTTAAGAGGTACATTTGTTGTAGCTTTTGTGCATTAAGAATCGTGCAAAAGACATCCAAGTCAGATGGGCCGGCTTTCCATCTGTGGCTAGACTTGTAGGAGGAAAAGGGACTTAAAATACACAAAAACAAACTGAAAAGATATTTTAACCCTATGACAGCCAATTAAGAAAACCTGTCTGGGAAAAATGAGGACAAAGCACAGTTTTGGGTTAAGACATTGCCCCATTTGAAATTTAGAATTTCTTTTCAAATGAGAAATCTGTGTATATGACTAGTAACTAAAATAACTTTTCTGCTGCAGCACTGGGCTCTTAAAGCACCTGGATAGTTAAAAGAGTCTTCAGGTAGCACAACTCTATAGTGCTGAGGGGGGGGGGAAAAAAAAACTTTTTTTTTTTTTTTTTTTTTTTTTTTTTTCTTTTTCATTCATGGAGCTACTCATTTCTCTATAATAGTTTTTCCACCCTCCACGTCTCCCTTGGACAAAGAGCCCGCCCTGAACGCGAGCGAGGGACGCACCAGGGCTCCGAGCCGAAGCCGTACCACGCCAGCTGCAGGATCTGGAACCCCAGCCCCAGCAGGATGGTGTTCTTATTGCCAATGGACCGCATGAGTAAACTCAAAACTATAGTCTGGCAAGAAAATAAGTACAATTAAAAACAAGAATTAGTGTTTTGCTGCATTACATATAAACTATGAATTGAATTAAAAAAAAAAAGGGGGGGGGCGGGAAGCCATATGTGCAAAATAGATAAGTTTGGGGGTTTTTTCCCCCCACTGTAATAAATACATATGCTATATGAGCAAATCATTATCCCTTCCTTGAGAGGGAATTCAGTTTTCCCAACCCAATACACTCTGGATACTAATAAAACAAACCTGAGCCATGGCAGCAGGCTTTTTTTTTTTTAATCTAAATTAGTTAAAGGAAGAGTGGAGGCTTAGAAAAACAGCTACAGAAAACATGAGGCACATTTCTGGAATTTCGCTATTGTGGAAGTTGCCTATAGTGCTTAGTTCTCTTTTGACGCTACAGAACAATAAACTCGATAGCAGTAATTCACCTGTGCAATAATGGAAAGAATCCCGAGGACTGCTATAAATGCTGCAACACTTTCAGATGAAAATCCCATTATCTACATCAAAAAAAAAAGCAATTTTGTTGTTAACAGTAAAACATATATTGTCATAGTGCAGACCCTGGGGGCGGGGCAAACCACCCGCCCAGAAATCTAATTCAAACAGTTCTACTCAATTTGCACAACTATCACTTTTTTCACTGAATAAGAGAAAAGGAACATGAATGGAAAGTTCCCTCCACAATAATGTGGTGTAACGTGGGGAATCTCCTAAGCCAGGATGAGACAAATGATTAGAGAACATACAAAATGGCGTAATAACACACTCCTCTCCCGCCTCAGTTTTCCTATTTCTGAGAGGAAAGAGGGCTAAAAGTAATTAAACTCAGTGTTGTTCATATGAAGATGTTTAGTTACCTGTCTGAGGTATAGAAAGAAGCTGGAATATTGACCCGCCTCTGGGAGGTAGGAAAGAAAGACTGTTATGCAGATGAGCAGCACAATTGAATCCTGGCCAACTTTCTTCAGCGACTGTGGCGAGAAAAACAAAGTGTTACCAAACACTGACCTGTCCTGTTCAGAAAAGCAACTAACAAGCACAGGGGGGGACTGAG